CGTGAGGATAATGATGCTAAGGGTGAAGACTGTCAGGAAAGCTATCTAGCTTCCTCTGCGTCACCAATGCCGCTTAACGGCGCGCTTGAAACGCATTTTTAAAAGAAAGAGATGAATGAAGATCATGGTGATATGATGATGAAGGATCATGATGGCCATCATGATGATGTTGATATGGGTGATGATAATGACCATGAGGATGATGATAAGGATGATGAGAACTATCGTCGTAGCATCCTCTACATCACCAACGCTGCATAAGAGATGATGACTGTGAGGATAACGATGATAGGGACGAGGACTGTCATGATAACTATCATCGTAGCACCCTCTGCGTTACAACGCCACAGTTGTAATAAGAGAAAGAAAGAGCTGATGATGACCATAATGATGATTAAGGGTGATGATGACGCCACCATGATGATGATCAGGGTGATGATGATAAGGATGATGACGGTGATGACGGTGATGATAACTACCATCGTAGCATCCTCTGCGTTACCAATGCTGCCGCATAAGAGATGGTGATGATCGTGAGGATAATGGTGCCAAGGGTGAAGACTGTCAGGATAACTATCATCGTAGCTTCCTCTGCATCACCAATGCTGCTTAACGGCGCGCTTGAAACGCATTTTTAGAAGAAAGAGATGAATGAGGATCATCATGATATGATGATGAAGGATCATAATGGCCATCAGGATGATGTTGATAAGGGTGATGATAATGATCATGAGGATGTTGATAAGAAGGATGACAGTGATGAGAACTATCGTCGTAGCATCCTCTACATCACCAACGCTGCGTAAGAGATGATGATGACTGTGAGGATAATGATGATAAGGATGAAGACTGTTAGGATAACTATCATCGTAGCATCCTCTGCGTTACCAATGCCGACTAACCGCACACTTGAAATGCATATATAGAAGTAAAAGAAAGAGCTGATGACGACCGTTATGATGATGAACGGCGATGATGACCATCATGATGATGATAAGGGAGAAAACATTATTTTGGATAGCCGGAACACGAAGCTTGGATTCTCCGAGATGTGTATAGGAACTATCATCGTAGCATCCCCTGCATCACCAATGGTGCCTAACGGCGCTTGAAATGTATAGAAGAAGGTAAAAGAAGGAAATGATGACGACCGTTTTGATGATCAAGGGCGATGATGACCATCATGATGATGAGGGTAAAACATCATTCGGATAGCCAAGGTTTGATCCTCCGAGATGTGTAGCCACCCTTCCCGCGCACCTCGCGCTTGCGGACAAGGGGTCGGCGGATATATAGAACATATATGTATATCTACACATGTGTATCATTTGGTTGCTTTGCTTCACGAGGAGCTGGATGAGCTTCCGGATGCAAATGGCCCAAGCCCAAGCGCACATGCAGCCGGGTTTTTGCCGAACAAAGTCTAACATTTTGCGTGCTGAAGGAAACGAAGCCTCTCCAGAGGCTGAGCTAGACTCGTTCAAGGCCATACAAGGCTGGTTCCTTGGCAGCTCGCTTTCTTTGCAAATTTGGCTGCGCGTACGTCAGGCTTCTGGCGGTCCAACAAGGGCGAGTGCTCAATCTCGACAGATCCTCGCACCAGCCGCCTGACCTACGAGGCTTGCGACCCATGTTTCCCAAAACTGTTGCGCTTGACATCGTGGCAGGAGTCACTGCCAGATGATGGCAGGCAAGCCTTGGAGACGCGTGGCAACAGTGTCAGCCCAAAGAGATTGCGTCAAGTCCTGCTTGGTGGTTGAGTGGCCATTGCAATCCATGGGCCGTGCCAGGCTGCATGGCTGGCTGGAGTACCATGAGGCCAGTGACACATGGGGAAGGATGCATACGCCTTTCTTGTATGTGCTTTGATTCCCAAACAGCTTAGCTGTTGGAGTTTTCTACTCATGCAAAGAATTGCATTCATGATATGGCTTGCCTTTACCCACTTGTGCTTCCACTTGTCTCGCTTCTTGTGCACACACACGCGCGCCCTCGCACGCCCGCCCCCCTGCCCGCCGTACCCCGCGCCCCGCGCCCCGCTGCTTGCGCGCCCCGTTCCTTGCACATGCGCCCGCAACCCGCGCCCCGTTCCCGCGCACGCGCGTGCACGTGAATGCGCACCTTCACACTCGCGGAAGCATAGGCGCACGCGCACGTGCGCGCGCAAGCGCAAGCGCGCGGGCAGGCACGTGCGCGCCCGAACGCACGTGCACGCATAGGCGCACTCGGGCGCACGCAGACACACGCACACGCACATGCGCAAGCGCACGCGCACTCAGACGCATTCGCAAGCGCAGGGGCACGCACACGCACACGCACACGCACACGCACGCACACGCACACGCACACGCACACACACACACACACGCACACGCACACGCACACACCCACCTACCCACCCACCCACCCGCCCACCCACCCACGCACGCACGCACGCAGGCAGGCACGCACGCACGCACGCGCGCGCGCGCACGCACGCACGCACGCACGCACGCGCGCGTCCACGCGCACACGCACGCGCGTGCACGCGCACGCGCACGCGCATGCACGCGCACGCGCACGCGCACGCGCACGCACACGCGCACGCGCACGCACACGCACACGCACACGCACACGCCCACGCCCACGCCGACGCCCACGCCCACGCCCAGGCCCACGCCCACGCCCACGCCCACAGGTGCACGCGCACGCGCACGCACACGCACACGCGCACGCGCATGTCAATGCGCACACGCACACGTGCGGGCTCACGCACACGTGCAAGCCCACACGCACACACATGTGCACTCGCACGTGAAAGAACACGCACAGGCACGCACAAAAGAAAGAAGTCCAAGGTTTATTGACGCTTCCCTCAAGGCAACAGGCGACATGTGACTGATGTCTGCCTTGCAAAAAGAACATTCACGACGCACGACTCAGCGAATGTATCTCCACTGCCAGCTACTTGAGGAGGAAGCAGATGAGGGAGTGCTGGCATGCTGTGGCCTCAGCCCACTGCCATCGTGCAGTTTGAACAGGCTGGCAGTTCTTATGCCAGAGTTCTTCTTGTAGCGTGCGCCGGCTCCATTGTGAAGGTTCGATGGTGGCTGGCCATTTGACGGGCTTGGAGTGATGGCTCGCCACCCTCGCGGAACTTTCGCGGAACCCTCCAAAACCTGCGGGATGCTCGCAGAAATCTCGCGGAACCCTGTTGAACCCGCGGAACTCTGTGGAACCTTACCTCAGAGCCGCCCGGACCACGAGCCCTCGCAGAACCCTGCGGAACCCTGCGGAACCCTGCAGAACCCTACGGAACCCTACGGAACCCTGTGCAACTCTGCGGAACCTTACCCACCTTCCTTGAACCTTAGAGGAACCTTCCTTGAACCTTACACCTGGCCTGCTCCGGAACCTTGAACCTTACACGGCCTGCACCAGACCACCCCGGAACCTTCGCAACCTTCCTTGAACCTTACGCCAGCCACACCACCCGGGAACCTCCGGACCACCCCGGACCTTCGGAACCTAACCTGACGCCAGAGCTCCCCCGAGCCACCCCCAAACGCTTCCGATTCTCCATGAGGCTGGGTAGCCGTGCTTCACCTTCTGGGGGAAGGCTGGGTCGCACTCCAGTCAGTTGGGGGATCCGCCTACTTAAGGTTTTGGGCGAGACGACAGCCACTCGTTGCAAACAAATTAGGATGGGGAGTTGGCTCAGTAAAGCTGCCCGCAGATGAGCTCCCATGGTATGGACCTTCCTTTGGCGAGGAGCCAGAGGCAGGGCTAAAACGTGTCTGGCTTCTCCGTGCCTCATGACTCCCCAACTCCCCAGCTCAGGCACTGGGACAGATCAAAGTGGAGCTCTTGCCCGGCCGGAAGATGCAAACGCGCGGAGCCAAGCCCGGGCTGCCACTTCGCACAGATCGGGTCAGCCTTTGCGGGCTTCCGGAACCCCAGACTCGAGCGAGTTTGCATTGGAATCACGTATGGCAGGAGCATCCGGATCGAGGATGAGGAGACTTGCATCCGGGGCGAAGAGAGAGTGGATTTCAGCTATCGTCTTCGGAAAATCTCAGCTCAAGTTGTTTTGACTGCATCCTCAGGGAACATTCAGGAATGCTTCGTCTGCCAGGATGAGGACTGGCAGTCCCCAACGTCGCTGTCCCAGCCTGCCTGTGAGATTAGCTAATAGACAGGCCAGACGCTTGAGCCCTCAGCGCGTGGGTCAAACCTCGAGGGTGTCAGCTTGGGTCAACGACCCTGCATTGATTGGAAGCTCCATGAATTGCCGCTTCTTTCTCCAGAAGCCAAATGGGGGGTTCGCGCTTTTGGCGCCGAGAGCAATGTGATGCAATCCAATCCAGGTCCTTCACTCGGCGTCCGGACGAGGAAGTTCAGGCGGCTGCCGCCGCAATGGAGAGCGCTGCCGCTGGCTGGGGTGCCCAGATTTGGAAGCGCCGCGGAGAACAGACCAATGGAAATGCAGCATGCCTTTGTGCAACATTGTGCATCACTACTGCTCACTCATCTTATTCCCGTCTCAGATCGTAGGCACAGATCAATCTGTTTTGCTCACACTCACAAGCGGCTTGGCCGAGGTGGCGCCTTTGTTTTTGGCGCCCGGTGATAGCGCTGGCAGCCGCTTGAAGTGAGCAGCACGCAGGTTCCAGCTTCCTGTTGGACATGGACCTTTGTTGTCTCGTGCCTTCAAGAGCTGGCAGATGGTCAGGGTGTCCAATTCACCACAGAGCAAGACTCTTAACCTGCCCCACTTCTTGTTTGCGACCAGCACGAAAGGAGGGCGGAGCTACCAGCTTTTCATATTTCAAGGTATCATCGCCATTCCTTGACTGCTCAGTAGGCAATCAGGATTGATTGGACATGTGCATCGCTGCAAAGGCAAAAAATATCCAAAGGAATCATCCAAGTGTTGGCTGTTGTGCCACATTTATAGTCTTGTACTCTCACTTGAGTACGCACAGGGGGCTTTTTCCATAGGCCATCCGAACATGCTGCAGGAGTTGCAGGGCTGGTATTTTTGCCCACCGTCAGCAGAGGCTGGCCACTATTTGCTTACTGCTCGAACAATTGTTCTGATTGCAGCTACATCTTGCTTTTCTTTTGTCTAGTGGAGAAGGTCTTGCGACTCAGCAAGCCAGATAGAGCCATTGGCTGCAGGCGGATGCCGAAGAGGTGGGTCAGAGAGACAAAGATCTACAGGTCCAACTGGATGTGTCGGTACCCTTTTTTGGCAGTTTCAAAGGGAAACCAAAAGGAACACCATGATGGCGGCTCCCAACAAAAAAATACCCGCCAATAGCACGTCTTGGCGCCAGTCGCCTTGGGATTTGGGCCTAGTGGCAGGCACGCTCGCGGCCGCCTGTGGGGCTTCTAGAGGTGCGTAGAGAGAGAGAGAGAGAGAGAGAGATGACGAGGGAGTCTAGCTGGCCTTCGGGAATTGGACACTCCCTCGATCCGGTTTTGTGGGATAACCAGGTGTAGTTTCGTTTGCAGGATATTTGCACAGGTTTGTTTTACCAGGTGAGCCGCGTCCAAATCGACCTGTGCGTAAGCCAAATCTCCACACGCGTAAGGTTGCGTAAGCTGGCGGCGTAAGCAAACCCTCCACATGTGGTCGCGTAAGGAAGAACTCCACGCGCGTAAGGTGGCGTAAGCTAGTGGCGTAAGAAATGACGCGACATAGCAAATCATGACGTGTTTGGGACATGGCTCAGTTGGTTTGGCTTCGATGAAAGTTAACGCGAGGAAGCTGCAGCAGCTGTGAGGGTGGGGTGCCCCAGCGGACAGTCTTTGGGCGAGAATGCAACACTGCCCATGCTTTGACCTGCCCAAACCTGGCATGCGCAGCATTCGCATCCAGGCAAAAAGCGAGCGAGGAGCCTTGGGTCGGGTTTGACAGATGGCAAGCTTTTCCATTTCGCCGATCATCTCAGGTGCTTCAGGCATCTGAGAAGGGTGGCAAAGTTAAGCCCACGGAACGCGACCTGACCTCTCTGCAGGATACCGGCGGCCTCCCATTCCGAGCTGAGCTGAGTTGTGAAGACTGCTGTGACTGCATACCCGAACTTGAGGCCATGCAGAGCCCGTTTTCCTAAGAAATACCCAGCATCCAACTCCAGCTGCGGTCAGACGGTCAGAATCAGTTGATGGTGTTCACGTTCTTGAAAACACGGGCTTTGATGCCACTCCACGAAGCCAGAAGAGGCATCCGGACAGGACAACCTGAATGGCCCTTTGCCCACCACTGAGCCGGAGATAGGCAGAGCCTTGAGATCTAGGAGATTCACCAATGTTTCACTTCGGCTGTACAGTCCCGAAATGAGAGTCATGCCACAGCAACAAAGCAACACGGCAAAGCAAAAGCGGAGAGCGGCTAGCTGAACCTAGGAACTGCGCTTGATGTCTGCAAGAGCTGATTTGGATGACATGTGCTGCAAAGCAAATGAGTGCGCAGAGTGGCTCTATTTAAGGCCATTGCAACATTGTATGATCAGTTTGCAGAGGCAGTATTCAAAAGCGGATCCTCAGCGCAAGAAAGTGACGCGAGACAGCATGGAGACGAATGGATGGCTGAGCATATTTTGGCACTTCCGATATTCAGTGCTTCCAGTCATTCACGGGAGCTTTACCAGCAAGTGTCCCTCGAAGTATTGATTCAGCCGGTGCGATCGCCCATGGCAAGGCGTGGGAGATGACCTGCAGCAGAAATTCAGAGCCCAAGGAACCTCGATTGCTCATGGGGGCTGGGGGGGGAGGAAGCCCAAATAAGCCCTGGTTAAGCCGGGCTCATTTGCCCAGCCCCCATAAGTTTCCGACCCTCCGAACTGCGGAGGTCATGAGTCAAAAAGCCGAAGGCCTGGCTCAAGCGTCATAGCAACACGTCAGACCATTGACGGCCGTGGTGTGTGTGTGTGTGTGGAGGTGGCACCTTCAAGGATGCCGCTGATGAGAGCGCCCGCAATGAGATGGAGCGCAGGTCTCGGTGATGGGAGTCGTTTGGCGCTTTCAAGCAGATTCCGAGTCCGCGACGAATTCCAGGGGTCCAGGCGATTTTGGTCGCGCCCAGGTCCAGCGCCTTTGAGGCTTTGGAGAAGGATTTCCAAGAGGTGCTCCAGGAGCCGAAGAGAGGCGGAAGTGTGAAAAGCTGGAGGTGTGACTTGGGTGTGACTTGGGTGTCACACATAGGGTAGCCCCTACAATGGCTTGCCCGAAATGGAAACAATGACTAAAAATGCGCTCCAATTTTTGGTGGTCAAATCGGTCCAATTCCTGGCGGTTAAACTTGGCCCACACTTGTCTCAGAAGTTCCAGGAGCTGATTGGCGACAAGTCCTTAGAGCACTTCCGCCTGGAGTATGAGAAGCTCCATAGGGCGTTGAAGAAGTGCGCCTGGCAGTCATCAAGAAAGAAAGCACTGTCGTTGAAATCCTTCGGCTTGTCAAAACGGGTTTGTCTCACCTGAACCTTGGAGGTGTTCCCTGTGTTTCTCTTGAAAACTACCCCAAAAAGGGCACCATCATGAAAAGACACGCCAAAATAGGTGACCCCCCCAAGAATGGTGGTTTCCTTCAGTATCCCTTCAAACCAAGGCAAACGGGCTACCCTTAAAACCTACAGCCTACACCTAATTGAGGTTTGCAAAGGAATTAGGCAACCAGGCCAACATTTCTGAACAAATTCAGAAAGCGATGCAGGTCCCATGAGAGCGAGAAGCGGCTGATTAAGAAGTGCCGTGAGCTCAACGCCGAGATTGTGTCCAATGCCACAAAGGCTCGCGAAGCCCAGATGCCAAGCAAACATCACAGGAAATCTTTGAACATTTGGCTTGTGACTGTTGGCGCTAGCATGTGCACGCCGAGGCATGTGGTAACCGCAGAACCGGATTGGGCGTGTCTTGCAGTTTGGCGTTTATAATGTTTTGGACCCCAAACATATCGCAGGTAATCTTGTTGGACGCTGAGACAAACTGAGGAAGGATGGTACAATACATGGCCAAGCGATCGTTGTTCACTGGCCCAGGGTAGAATGTTTTGCTTGAGCCTGAGTTTGCTGATCATGCGACCGTCTAAGAATTTGGAAACTCGGACGACGTGTGGCACGAGCATGCTCGTACACATTTTTAAAGCAATGCACAGGCTCGACTTTAGTACGTATCCGTTTGCCATGTTCAGGTAGTGTTGGGTTTACGTTGGCTATGTATTGGTGGAGTTTGCAAAGCATCATTCGTTGTTGAGTGTTTGACGTCTCTGCAAACATCTGGTGTACTTTGATGTACATTGCAAACATTGGGGGTCACAGCTGTATACTATGTATACTGTGAACCTCACACTGCTTCTGTTGTCTTGAGTCTACCAAGACAATGTGGGTTGTTTTGGCGAATGATGGGGGCTGCAACAGACGTCAATCCTCTGGAATATGCGTAACCCAAAGCACCGCAAGTTAAGCTTTGACGCAGTAGATAGCCCCAATATCCTGGCTTTTGAATCTTCAGCTTCAGTGCTTAAGCTCCTGGCTTGTATTCGTTCAAACCTCAAGGCACCTTTCTTTAGGTTGGAGAGTCCCCAAGAGCTTGTCTTCTTTCAACCAAGAGATGCTTACAAAGGACCGGTCTCATCCACAGTCCTCCTGTTAGCTCGTTTCATATCGGTTTTTGTCCCTTCGCATCGTCTCAACCCTTTGAATCGGCGCAGACGGCCTGCTAGAGGATGTGCAGCGTTGTGTGCAGGTGCAGACGGCCCTGAATCTATCGAAGGAGGACCAGGCGCCAAAACTACCTTGCACCACGTTCTTTTTTGGCAAGATGGCTCAAGTGCCTGGGCCAGGCGACCATCACCAACCTCAAGAAAGAGATCGAAAGAGCTTGGAAGATGGTTGAGGCAGGTGCCGGGCTTTTTTCAATGAGCTCTTTTCAATGAGCTAGAGTCAGCTAGCAAGGCCTCCCACGAGAAGGAGCAGCGAGCCAAGGAGACCATCCACAACCTGAAGGTGAACGGTGCTGCGCCCCTTCACTTGCCCCGTAGAAACACCTAGAAACAGGGGGTGCCTTGCAAACACAAGCGTTGCAGCGTTGCGTGACAGGTGGAGATCGCCAACCTTAGTCATCTGGTGGAGCAGGGTCCGGGCCATAAACAAATTTTTACTTCCCCAGCATGTGTGGCAAGTGACGACTATGTTGAAGACATTCAGTTTTCGTGGCAACGTCATCTTGGTCGTCCAGCATTTTCTGAGGTGCGGGCCTGAGCGTGAACCAGGACCCAGCTGCAGGTTTTCGATTCTGCTCGGTCATCCAAGGCCAAACAAAGACTTGGCAGTTTGTGTTGGTGCTTGATTCTCTCAGAGGTTTCCCTGCAGACGCAGGAGAACACGGTGAACAGCCTCATTGCACAGCCGGACACTCCAGCCATCGCGCCATGAGCGAGCTTTTGCTCGCGGTCGCGGTCGCCGGTTTGAGCCGAGGCGCGATGAGCTCATCAAGGCTCGAGACAAGCTGGAGGCGCAGGCCTGGCCCAAATTGGCATCGGCACCGAGAGAAACGCAATCCGAGAGAGAACATAAAACGTGTGTGGCTCAAAATTCAAGGGACGCGCAGATTTTAGACTTTGGTTCCATTCACCAAGGTTCCGTTTTGGTACCTATTGCCCCAACAGCTGAAAGCTTTGGGGTCTCAGCCCAGATAGGCTCTGGGGTGGTTCGGGGCGGCAGCCCTGAAGGAAGGTTCTACGAGGGTTCCACCAGGGTTCCACGGTGGTCTGGGGCGGCGCTGAGGCAAGGTTCCACAGAGTTCCGCAAGTCACGAAAGTTCCACGAGGTTCTGCAAGGGCTATGGGGTGGTCCGGGGTGGCCCTGAGGCAAGGTTCCACAAAAGTTCCACAAGGCTCAGGGTTCCAACAGGCTGCTGCTTTACAGTTGAGACAGCCTAAGCAAAATCGGCAGCGGTGGATTGGATTGGTATTGCGCTGTTGGGCCCCGATCGTGTTTGCTCTCTTTGTTTTCTCAAGCCCCCACAGCTCTCCAATCCCGCACTTGTTTGCAGATTTATGGGCCGCAGGCTTCGAGCAGTAGTTTTGAACGGATTGCTAGCTGCCATGAGCGATTTTAATCAAAACATCAATGCCTCTGAGACATATGCGCCAACTCCGGAGTTGAGCGCCAAAGCACATGTGAAGTCCATGGAGGAATATCAGAGGATGTACAAGGCTAGCATCGAAGACGCGGAGAGCTTCTGGGGTGAGATGGCCAAGCAGTTTCATTGGCAGACGCCGTTCGAAAAGGTGGGCCCGGAGTTCAATTTCGACCGCAGCAAAGGACCTGTCTCCGTGAAATGGTTTCAAGGAGGCAAGACAAATCTTTCCTACAACTGCCTTGATCGGAATGTGCAAGAGGGCAATGGGGACAAACCAGCCATGTACCACGAAGGCAACGATGTGGATGACGTGTGCCTCAGCTTCATGGGATACTTTGTTGCTGTGACTTGCTTCTATGTTATCCAACCTTAGAGACACTCGTGTAGTGTTTGCATGAGCCAAGCCTACAATTTGACTCCAAGGCACGCGTCCTTCACATATTCGCAGCTCCTGGTAAAGGTTTGTCAGCTTGCGAATGCTTTGAAGGAGGAAGGCGTGAAGAAAGGCGATCGCGTCTCCGTCTACTTGCCTATGGTGGTCGCAGAAGCTGCATTCAATCGGTGAGCTGTTGTCCAAAACAAAGAAGGGGCTTCATGGGACAGCAAGTTTAAATTCCATTGCATTTCACTGGAGTTTAGGATGGGTTTGCTACGGGTGGGGAATAAAGCGTTGGATGTACCGCGTTTCAGGTTAGCCTAGGACTGGTTCAGGGCAGGCTGTTGGCTTCGGGTTGGTTTGGGGTAGGCTTAGGTTGGTTTCGGTGTCGTTTCATTTTTTGAATGGGGTTGGAGTTGGGCTGGGGTCGGTTTTGCGTTGGGCATGAGTCGGTGAAGGGGTTGGCTTAGGGTGGGTGCGTTGTTTAAGGTTTGTTTGGGGTCGGTTTAAGGTTTAGGGTGGTGGGTTTAGTTTGGTTTAGAACGCGTTTAGGGTTGGTTGTGGGCTGGTTTAGAGTGGGTTGAGGGTGGGTTTAGGCTTAGCCTTGCTCGGTGTCTGTTCTGGGGCTAAGGTCGGGGTGATCAGGACAGGATGGTTAGGCAGGTTGCCGTTCGGACGGCCACGCTTCTCAGCGTCTGATTTTCAAAATGTCGGCTGAAACAAACACATAATTTGTTGACAGTCTGATTTTGAAAATGTCGGCTGAAACAACCACACACATAATTTGTTCACAGTCTGATTTTCAAAATGTCGGCTGACAAAAAGAACATTGAGACCCAACTAGAGACAACTTGAGGCCGAGCTGCCCTCTGCCATGCTGGCCTGCGCTCGCCTGGGCGCAGTGCACTCGGTGGTCTTCGGTGGCTTCTCCGCCGAGTCCCTGGCGGGCCGCCGCTTGAAGTTGGAGCCATACGGTTCGGGGCAAAATGTGGGCTGTTGCCGCTGTTGCCGGGAAATCGCAGCCGGAAGGCTTCTGAGGCATTGGGAAGGTGTCGGGTAATATCCCCTAGGCCAGGCCGAGGTATTATCGGTCAGCCTAGGTATCATTGATGCCCAGTCCAGCGTTGTTATCACCGCGGATGGCGTGATGCGCGGAGCGAAGCCCGTGCAGCTGAAGGCAGTCAGACTTGCAGAGACCAACATACCAGATTCCTATCCACTGGGTTTGCCTTTTGCTTCACAGAATCTGACTAAGTTTGCTGTGGCTTTTGCAATCTATGCGTCTTGTCTTCTACTCATCTCATCTCTTCTTGCAAGTTCGGTGCGTGAAATCCAAGCTCTATTGTGCATGACTACGCACTTTACCCCATTGCTTGCTTGGACCTGTCAACAGTGCGAATTATTGGATCACAAGAAGTTGCCTCTCACTAACGGGCCGGCTAATCTTTGGATGACTGTCTCCGTTTTTTTTCCTCCCCCATTCTTCTCGCTCCAAATGTCGTTCTGTCAGAAGGCCTCCGAGTTGCCTTGGCCGGCCGTAAGCCGAGAGGCGATCACGGACAAGGCCTGCGAGCTGACCTCGCAGGGTGGATTCGAGGTGCGGCGGGTGGTGTGCGTGGCGCGGCTGAAGGGCACAGCCAGGGGCGACCAGGCCAAGCACAGCTGGGCGGAGGCGGGAACGGTGGGGATCACCGGGGACACGAGAAAGGAGGGCTGCAAACATGCCAATGAGAGGGAGAGAGAGAGGTTTGGCAGTGTGCGAGCAGTTCACCCATGCGCACAGGGCAGGGACGTGTGGTACTCCGACTTCGTTGGGAAGCAAGCCGAGACATGCGAGTGCGAGTGGATGGACAGTGAAGATCCGCTCTTTATGCTTTACACCTCTGGCAGCACTGGCAAGCCCAAAGGAGTGCTGCACACAACAGGCGCGCACCAACAGATCACAGACAGTGCATTAAAATACTATGTCAACGTAACGATGTAAGCGCTTAGTTTATGGCTCAGCAAGGTGGCTACATGCTCAGTTCCTTTGCCACAATGAAGTACACCTTCGACTACCACCCCGAGGATGTCTATTTTTGCACCGCAGACTGCGGCTGGATCACTGGGCATTCTTACGTTACCTATGGTCCAATGCTCAATGCTGCCACTCAAGTGCTCTTCGAGGGGGTTCCAACCTACCCAGAGGTGGACCGCTTTTGGAAGGTGTGCGAAAAGTACAAGGCACGGCTTTCTGAGGTTTGCGTTTGGGCTGTGAGTTGCCCAAGCTCCGAAAGTGCACTCCAGTGGGCGAGTCTCGTCAGGTGTCCATCTTCTACACGGCACCAACAGCAATCCGATCCCTGATGAAGTCTGGGGACGAGCCGGTGACGCGCAATGACCTCTCCAGCCTTAGGCACTGCATGACAAAATCACGCCAACATCAAACGGGTTGGGTTCCAGGAAATTCTACAGGAGAACAGGTTACTTAGGGTGTGTTGGGGCCATTTCTGTAGACAATTTCCTGTAACCAACCCTTTGACAACAGTTTGATGCGGCCTCTGGTGCCAAAAATCAGGACCCCTTTGCGGACCCCTTTTTAAAGGCGGAGAAAAATCAGCCAGGGCCCAAAAGGGGTCGAATATTTGAAGCTGCCTCCTGTCCAGGCTGCTAGGCAGCGTGGGAGAGCCCATCAATCCTGAGGCCTGGAAATGGTACCACCGCGTCGTAGGCGCGAGGGCAAGGGCACCGCTTTTTGGGAGGGTGCCCCTCGTTTTTGTGGTTTTGAAGCGGACCAAAAGGAACACCCACACATTTGTGGGGTTCAGCAGAGTCGCAGAATCGCAGAGTCGCAGGCGGTGGCCGGTGTGCGATTGCGGACACCTACTGGCAGACAGAGACGGGCAGCCACCTCATCACGCCTCTGGTGGGTGCGATGACTTGCAAGCCAGGCCCGGAAGTGCAGGTCGCAGGTGTCGGTCAATGAGCGTTTTCCCCGATTGCTGGGCAGCTGGTTTGAGGCTCCGCCTCTTTGCCCTTCTTCGGAGTGGAGCCGGCAATTCTGGACGAGAACGGCAAGGAGCAGGAGGCATTTTGGGCCGTGCGCAACGCGTCGTGATACGTACAGTGTGGCTTTAGCTGGGCTTGGAGTTGCTGTCTCAGTGTCTCCCGCACAGATTTGGATTTGGTTTGGTTCGGCTTCGTTTAGGGCGAGTGCAGCGGGCGGCTGGTGCTGAAGCGCCCAATGCCCAGCATGATGCGCACGGTCTACGGGGACCATCAGCGCTTTGAGGCTGGCCATTTTTACTCAGATGTTCCAAGGCAGCAGGAAATCGAACAGTACCTGGCGCAAATGCTGACATTGTTTGCAAGTCACTCGTAGCCTTGAAACACTGGAGCCCACTAGAAGCTGGCGAACACACAATTCCTCGTTTCCAGAAATGGCATAGAGACGAATGCATCCAAGAGCGAGCCAACGAGGCCATGCGAACCCAGACGGAGGGAGCTAATTTGGCTTCAACTTCCGTCGCTGGAATTTTCTCAGCGCAGTCTATTTCATCTTCGGGCAATCAGTCTTTGTCTCTGTCGAATTTATACTGAAGAGAATCGTCAGTGGTTGCGATGACGAAATAATCCTCGACAGAGCCGACACTTCGGCTGGTCCCTAGATTCAGTCCACTTGAATACCTATGCAAGTTGGATTTGTTGACTTGATTGCTCAATAATCTCTTCGAGTGTGGCAGACTAGCTCAAAATCCTTGTGTGATAGTAGATGGCATGTCATCAGCTGCTTCAAAGGAGACTTACTTCTCCCAGTTCAATGGTTACTACTTCACTGGTGACGGCTGCAAACGAGACAAGGCCGGCTGCAAGACACTGTGGACTCAGATGCACGATGAGTTTCTCATGCCGGCAACATCGGCTGACATTGCTTGGACACGATACTGCAATGTTGGTGCATTTACTCAATATCTCCTCGCATCGGCGATTGCAGGATGGCTACTACTGGCTCACTGGCCGCATGGACGATGTCATCAATGTCTCGGGACACCGCATTGGCACCGCAGAGGTAGAGAGTGCTTTGGTCGCTCACTCCAAGGCCCGGACCAAAAGCAACATGGGGGCTGATCAATTTTCCTGGTCCCCAAATGGGCAACTTTTCCCATGTAGTGGTGAAATGTCATTTTTGGTGTGGTTTTCCAACCAATGGTCATCCCATGTAAAGGATCTTTTGATGCACATGACCAGCTTTTTCTTGAGTCTCCAAGGTTGCAGAAGCTGCTGTTGTTGGCTTCCCCCACGACATCAAAGGCAGGTGGGAGAGGGGGAAGTCTTGTTCAGGGGGCATACCCGCAGTGGTGTAGCAAACCAATTTGACAAACTGGAAGGACTATTCTCAGAGCCTCATGAATCTGGCTGGGTGTCTTGCCAACAAGCGCGTGTTGCCAATCTCTTCAAATCAATTTCGGGGAAATTAGTCTGAAGCTGGTTTGCCCCTTGCTTCACAAGCCGGCTTGGTGTGGTATGCAAGTACAGTCCTTTACGATCTTACAGCATGACTGCCGCTTTGTTTTTGGTTACTTTCACTTGAGGAAACTCAATGATGCTGCAGCAAGCTCTTTTCATGGGGAAGGTGGTCGTTTTTGAACGCGTGTTTTGGCTCGTTTTTGAACGCGTGTTTTGGCTCGTTTTTGAACGCGGTTTTGCTCAAGTGTATGTGATTTACAGCAGCACGGCCATTTGCCAAGTGTCCATGCACACCACGATGAGGCGCACGAACACGCGCCACGATGCACGTGTAGCACATGGATGGCGCCTTGCTTTTGGGAGACAATCGTCAACTGTAGACCCGAGAACACAAAGCACAAGGAACGCAAAGCGACATCATCATCATCATCATCATCATCATCATCATCACCATCACCATCATCATCGTCGTCAACATCATCATCATCATCATCACCATCATCATTACCATCATCATCAACATCGTCATCATCACTACCAACAACATCACCATCATCAACATCAACACCAACATCATCATCACCATCATCAACATCACCACCAACATCTATATCATCATCATCAACAACACCGTCAACATCACCATCATCACCATCATCATCATCGCCATCATCATCACCATTATCATCATCATCATCAACATCACCATCGTCAAAATTATCATCAACATCGTCAACATGAACATCATCACCACCATCATCATCATCATCAACATCACCATTGTCAAAATTATCATCAACATCACCATCATCATCGACATCAGCAAAGTCATCGCCATCGACATCCTTATCGGCAACATCAATATCATCATCATTAACATCATCACCATCATCATCAACATCATCACCATCATCATTACCATCATCATCAACATCGTCATCATCACTACCAACAACATCACCATCATCAACATCAACACCAACATCATCATCACCATCATCAACATCACCACCAACATCTATATCATCATCATCAACAACACCGTCAACATCACCATCATCACCATCATCATCATCGCCATCATCATCACCATTATCATCATCATCATCAACATCACCATCGTCAAAATTATCATCAACATCGTCAACATGAACATCATCACCATCATCATCATCATCATCAACATCACCATCGTCAAAATTATCATCAACATCACCATCATCATCGACATCAACAAAGTCATCGCCATCGACATCCTTATCGGCAACATCAATATCATCATCATTAACATCATCACCATCATCATCAACATCATCACCGCCATCATCATCATCATCAACATCATCATCATCATCATCAACATGGTCAACATAATCATCATCATCATCATCATCATCATGACCATCATCATCAACATCGTCATCATCGCTACCAACAACACCGCCATCACCACCAGCGCGCAGTCGCACGGTCACGCAGTAAGAGGCGAACGTAACTGCCCCACCCCGTCACGCAGCAAGAAGCGAACGTAACTGCCCCACCCCACCCCGCCCCCCCAGCCCCAATACGCAGTTGCGCCGCCACGCAGTAAGCGGCGATCGCAATTCTAGGAGGCTCCGATTTGCAAGTTACTTAGGCCGTATGAGCTAAGGAGGTTTTTTGTGTCGCGAGGACAAGAAGAGCTTGAAATTTCACGAGTTTTCACGGCTTTTTTACGGAGTAGTAGCGGCCTTTCAGTTTCCCGCGCGAGTTATTACGGCCGTTAGACCGAGCTTTCACGGCTTTACGGGGGCCAACGAGCGCAAGTCGCCGAGGACATTTTAGCTCAAAAAGCCAAGGTAACTTGGGACTCGGAGCCTCCTGGTTGCCCCCTTCCCCCAGCCCCAGGGCGCAGTTGCACGGGCACGCAGTAAGAGGCGAACGCAACTGCCCCACCCCACCCCCCCCCCCACCCCACGGGTGCCGCAGGATAGCCCCCCCATGTGTTCGAAAATGACCCATTCTGTGTTCGAAAATGATCCAGGACATCGGTGTTCGAAAATGATCCAACATCGGTGTTCGAAAATGATCCCCCTCCCCTTTTCATGCACGCATTGTGGCTTGAGCCATCCTGCCCACACAACACTCTGCATGGCTTGTTTCCAAGTGTAGTTTGTGCAGATCTCTGCATTTGTTCCGCTTGGGGTTGCTGGAGGTTTTGCATTTGGAACCCTGCCACAGGATAATGGGGCCCCCTTTTTGGCTTTCGTCGAAAAGGAGCGGAGGCTTGTAGCACGAGGTGTGCAACGAGTGTCAACATGACCAATGCCATTTTGACTCCAACCAACCTAAGCCAACTTTGGCGAAAAAGCCTGCAACTTCCTCTCTCTTTGTCGTCCGAGTCCATTCAGCAGTTACTGTTTGGCCACTCACAACACTTGTGCCAGGCGAGGGCATTTGGTGCTACATTACATTAAATGAGGGAGTGGCCTACGACGATGCCTTGAAAGCTGAGCTGAAGAAGCAGGCCAGACCAGATCGCGGGATCGCGGCGGGGGGGGGGGGGGGGGGGGGGGGGGGGGGGGAGGAAAGAAGTTAGGAGGTTGCTTTTTTGTTGTTGTTGTGTGTGTGCAGGTATGCAGATATGTGCATGTCAAGATGTCAAGCGATTCGAGATCTGAGAATTCCTGAGGTCCGGGAGGTGATTGGGGCCTTCGCGCAGCCGGACGAGATCCACTGGGCTCCGGGGCTGCCAAAGACCAGGCCGGACTCGAGAGTTTCCCGTTTGAAGTTCATGTCAATGTGTCAGGATGCAAGACATGCAGAAGGTTTCAGATGAATGAATACCCCATGGTTTTTGGGCTCCTTTTGTTTTCCATGGCAGTCCCTGCTAGTAGCATGTTATCGTTGCTTCCTCCAGAGCTTGAGCTTGCACACCTGCATCTATTAGCCCAGGGCAACCATATGTCGTTCATTTTTTTTGTTCAGATGATTCAATTGACAAGGGCAAGTCACGCAGCCATGTTTGCAGGTCTTGCAGATCAATTGACGATAGCGCCAGCCTGGAACAGTGGAGGTTTCTTTCAGAATCTAGGGACGTCACCTGGTTGACTTGAGCTGCGGAGCTCGCAAGCTTGGCACAGAAGTTCTCAACTGAAAATCCCGTTCCAAGGGCCGGTAGCATTGGGCAGCGCCCCACTCATGTCTTTGGTCGCAGCCAGGAGCGGCAAGATCATGCGGCGAGTCTTGCGGAAGCTTGCCCTGCCAGACTTTGAGACCCAGGACGGGCCGTACGCAGAGAACTGCATGTTGAAACCATATGTGTCATTTCCAAAACCCAGCATTGTTCCTCTTCCTTCGTTGGCCTTATGCACATGTTCTTGGCCTTATGAACATTTCAGACTGTGTGTGGTCAATGAAGGAAATACTGAATGGAATGAAATGGAATGGAATGGAATGGAATGGAATGAATTTGGAATGGACTGGAATGGAATGGACTGGGACTGGACTGGAATGGACTGGACTGGAATGGAACGGAACGGAACGGAACGGAACGGAATGCAGTGAAGGAATGAATTAGTAGGCGAATCAATTAGCTGCCTACTTCATGGATGGACCCATGAATGGAATCAATGGATGCACGGAGGATCTGGGCGACACATCGACACTGGCAGATCCATCTGTGGTGGAGGTGCTGAAGTCCTATCATCCTCGCAAAAAGAGCGACGGCGGATACAAGGCGTAGGCGATGTGTGCAGGTGTGCATAAGGCACGATCGCTCAGTCCAGCTCGTCCGCAATGGACGACTGCTTATCGATTTGAGGGGTCATGACTACTACTTAGGAAAGAGCCGCACTTGCCACTGGTTCCAGTTTTGAGCAGCAGCCAATTTTTTTGGTTTCAAGTGATTAAGGGGAGGTGACTTGCCTGAGCTTTCCAGAAGCTGAAAGCCGGGACGGGCGTGCGTCGCTGGCACGGGGCCCGGCCCTTGCCTGCCGAGCTGCCCGTTTGTCTCGAGTCGGCCTTCGGCTCCTTTCGCCCCGCGGCGCGTTCATTGCTTTTGCGGAGCCTACCAGTTGTCCTGGCTTGTTTGCGCCGCTCAACTCTCGAAAGGCGACATTGCTCGTGTGCCGGCTGGTGATGTGAAGCATCCCCTGATCGAGCCGCCCAGATTTCAAAGGGATGTGCACATCCAGAGCTTGAGAAAGCGAGTTTGCTGCTGTGTGCGGTGCGACAGTTGCCCCTGCAAGCCTTTCCATGCATGATTGAGCGTAGTGCGAAGGATATTCTTCTTTTTCTGGCAAGGTGGCCTCATTGACTCACGACAATATTGCATCCGCCTCAGAGTTGTGTCGGTAAAGCATGAAGCGCATTCTTTTTGTTTTCTTTAAACTTGTGGTACGCAATGAGCCCCAGTTTGCCAAGGTCTTGACTGAGACAGCCCAGAGATATGAGTCGGAGAAGGTTCAGGGTGAGGCGAGCCATGATTGCCTTTCTGTGCAACTCGCATGTTCCGTTCCCCAGACAATTTGTGAAGACCTTCCCCTGAGGTGGAGATAGCAGATGTCAAAGACATGCTGAATGCAAAGAGGATCTACAGCTGCGCCAAGTGTAATGCCTGAAGCTTTTTCTTCCAGGACTGAGGAAGAGCGAGAAACACGGCGCCGGGACCGCCTTGAGAGCGAGCTGATCGAGTTCGGGTGCCCGGTGAGCTTGATGTGGATAGCCGGTGAGATCTTTGCAAGTGGCAAGGTTGATTCAGCTAAGCAAACTCACTTCCTGAGTTCATGGACTTTATGCTTTTCGGTATGACCATTTTAGCGGCAAACAAACAGTTTAGACCTTTTCTGGCCAATCCATTTGGGAAGTGAGCAAAGGATCCAAAAGATCGTAGCTTTGCTTTGGTCTTGACCAAGGCTCCGGCAGACCATGGAGGCCCGCGAGCGTACGCTGCGCCAGGTGAAGGTGCGCTATCGGTTTAAACGGCCCAAGCTGGGGAGAGAGGGAGAGAGAGAGCGAGAGAGATAATGTATACGAAGAAAGCAATCATGTGGCCAGACTTGACATATTTGCACTCGACCATTGCAAGCAACGTTCGGCTGCAGCAGCGGTTGCATGCAGGCTGAGATCAAGCAGCAGGAAGAGGTGAAGGCTACAACTGAGAGCCAGCAAGGATCCTATTGAAAGTTTTCATACCCCTATTCTGAGTCTGTTCTCGTGCGTGGGAGCCAGCCTGGCAGAGCAATGCCTGTCGCCAAGGCTGAACGTGCAGCGGCAGATCATCGAAAACAAGAAGCAGGAGGAGGCGTTTGTTTCCCCGGTGGTTCACAGCCATTCGGTTCCTTACCTTTTTAGCTTTTTGGTCTTTAGATTAGTGGTTGGATTTTCGTATTTAACTCACCAAAAGTGTGTCACTTTGAGCGGGGGATCTGAGGAGGCCCAGTTTCAATTCATTTGACGAGGGGAGCAACAATGGGCACGGGATGGCGACGAAGAAGCCTTGCCAGGCCAACTGGCAGCGCCAGATCGGGGAGCTGAAGCGGCAGAAGCAGGAGGGCGCCTGGGTCTACCTTGGGCAATCGGCCCAAATGGTCTCAAATGGGCGTTTATGGGAATCCTGGGAGAGTAAACTTTTCCATGTTGCAAAGTACAAGCCATCTCCGCACGAAATGTGGAGGATGGGAGCGACGCAAAGAAGAAGCTGACTGAGGCTGGGCAGTTGCGACGCATCTGCGGGAGAGCTTTGTCCTGTCAGCAATCGACAATATGACCAGAGGCGCCAGTATGATTGGCGTTGCTTGTGCGCCAAATCACCCTTTCTTGGCGCACACAAGGGGGCTATCCCCATGACGGCTTCACTATGTTTATTGTAAAGCAGGTTCCGTCGGTAGCACGGAAGCTTGGTTCTGCTGACTTGAAACCTTGCCAAGGAGAATAATGAGTTGGACAAGGAGCTCAAGGCAAAGTTCGAGGATGGGAGATTCAGCTTGGGCATTTTCTTGTCATTGTTTTTCCCCCCTAGTGCAGACTGTTCTCACGCTGCCTGCCATTTCGGCTCAAAAAGAAGAGACGTAATAACTCAATCCGAGGCAGGGCAACTTCGAACTAGAATGGGATGCCAGATGTATTGTGATTGCTGCGATTGTACCGTGTGCATTGCCAAAGAGACTGTGCCAGGCACTCGGGAGCCTCGGGCATGGCTTTGAACTATCGCGACACCTTCATCGATATCAGGGACCAAGGGGGGCGGGGGGATGAGGGGACGAATGGCATGATGGGTGGATCACTTCGTCCCTCCATTCCTATATTTTTTCATTTCCATTCCTCATAAATCCATCCACCCATTCATCCATTCATCCATTCAGCCAATTATCCATTCATCCAATCACCCATCCATCCATCCATCCATCCATCCAGCCATCCATCCATCCACTCACTCACTCACTCACTCACTCACTCACTCACTCACTCTCACTCTCACTCTCACTCTCACTCTCACTCTCACTCTCACTCTCACTCTCACTCTCACTCTCACTCTCACTCTCACTCTCACTCTCACTCTCACTCTCACTCTCACTCTCACTCTCACTCTCACTCTCACTCTCACTCTCACTCACTCACTCACTCACTCACTCACTCACTCACTCTCACTCACTCACTCACTCACTCACTCACTCACTCACTCACTCACTCACTCACTCACTCACTCACTCACTCACTCACTCACTCACTCACTCACTCACTCACTCACTCACTCACTCACTCACTCACTCACTCACTCTCACTCTCACTCACACTCACTCACACTCACTCACACTCACACTCACACTCACACTCACACTCACTCACTCACTCACTCACTCACTCACTCACTCACTCACTCACTCACTCACTCACTCACTCACTCACTCACTCACTCACTCACTCACTCACTCACTCACTCACTCACTCACTCACTCACTCACTCACTCACTCACTCACTCTCACTCACTCACTCACTCACTCACTCACACTCACTCACACTCACACTCACTCACTCACTCTCACTCTCACTCACTCACTCACTCACTCACTCTCACTCACTCTCACTCACTCTCTCACACTTCACTCTCACTCTCACACTCACTCACTCACACTCACTCACACTCACTCACTCACAGCACTCCATCACTCTCACTCACTCTCACTCTCTCTCACTCAGTCTCACTCACTTCACTCACTCTCACTCACTCTCACTCACTCACTCTCACTCACTGACTCTCACTGACTCACTGACTCACTGACTCACTGACTCACTGACTCATCGGACTCACTGACTCACTGACTCACTGACTCACTGATCACTGACTCACTGACTCTTGAGTGAGTGGAGTGAGTGGAGTGAGTGGAGTGAGTGGAGTGAGTGGAGTGAGTGGAGTGAGTGGGAGTGAGTGGTGGTGAGTGGTGGTGAGTGGAGTGAGTAAGTGAGTGGAGTGAGTGGAGTGAGTGAGGTGAGTGAGTGAGTGAGTGAGTGGAGTGAGTGAGTGAGTGAGTGGAGTGGAGTGGAGTGAGTGAGAGTGAGTGGAGTGAGTGGAGTGAGTGGAGTGAGTGGAGTGAGTGGAGTGAGTGGAGTGAGTGGAGTGAGTGGAGTGAGTGCAGAGAGTGAGTGAGAGTGAGTGGAGTGAGTGGAGTGAGTGGAGTGAGTGGAGTGAGTGGAGTGAGTGCAGTGAGTGCAGTGAGTGCAGTGAGTGCAGTGAGTGCAGTGAGTGCAGTGAGTGCAGTGAGTGCAGTGAGTGCAGTGAGTGCAGTGAGTGCAGTGAGTCAGTGAGTCAGTGAGTCAGTGAGTCAGTGAGTCGGTGAGTCGGTGAGTCGGTGAGTCAGTGAGTCAGTGAGTCAGTCCACTCACTCCACTCACTCCACTCACTCCACTCACTCCACTCACTCCACTCACTCCACTCACTCCACTCACTCCACTCACTCCACTCACTCCACTCGCTCCACTCGCTCCACTCGCTCCACTCGCTCCACTCGCTCCACTCGCTCCACTCGCTCCACTCGCTCCACTCGCTCCACTCGCTCCACTCGCTCCACTCGCTCCACTCGCTCCACTCGCTCCACTCACTCCACTCACTCCACTCACTCCACTCACTCCACTCACTCCACTCACTCCACTCACTCCACTCACTCCACTCACTCCACTCACTCACTCACTCCACTGACACTCTCACTCACTCACTCACTCACTCACTCACTCACTCACTCACTCACTCACTCACTCACTCACTCACTCACTCACTCACTCACTCACTCACTCACTCACTCACTCACTCACTCACTCCACTCACTCCACTCACTCCACTCACTCCACTCACTCCACTCACTCCACTCCACTCCACTCCACTCCACTCCACTCCACTCCACTCCACTCTCACTCCACTCCACTCCACTCACTCCACTCCACTCCACTCCACTCCACTCCACTCCACTCCACTCCACTCCACTCCACTCCACTCCACTCCACTCCACTCCACTCCACTCCACTCCACTCCACTCCACTCCACTCCACTCCACTCCACTCCACTCCACTCCACTCCACTCCACTCCACTCCATTCCACTCCACTCCACTCCACTCCACTCCACTCCACTCGCTTGCTCGCTCGCTCACTCACACCATTGCATCATTCCATTTTTCCATCATTCCAATTCCATTCCATCCCATTCCATTCCCTCGTTCCTGGTTTGTGTTCGTAGAGCAGCGCATGTCACCTTACTTCATTGTGGCCATTGGCATATTGAAGGCCAAGCGGACGCAATGTTGACCTGATGAACCCGTTTTTTTTTTGGGGGGGGGTACTCTCCTCTCAAAGTGATGAACCCACGCTAAAACCAGGGGCACCCCCATATTGATAAACATCGGTTAATGAATATGGGGTCAGCGTTAGAATGGATGTTGGCACACTCGACAACAAAACTCCAAGCCCCCTGGACACTGGTCGCTCCTCTCGGGTAGGACGAAGTGCCGAAGCGGCGATGTCGCAGCGCAGCGCCTCGACCGGTGCCACTCGAAGAGGAAGAGTGGCGGCGCTTGGCGCAGCGCTGCTCGGCGAAAAGGGCAAAAGAGGGGAGTTCACGGCTTTTGGAAAAGAGCGGCAACTGCATGTTTTAGTGTTTCTAAGAATGAAAGCAAGCAAGCAAGCAAGCAAGCAAGCAAGCAAGCAAGCAAGCAAGCAAGCAAGCAAGCAAGCAAGCAAGCAAGCAGCTGGTCAAGTGGCGATTCAGGCATGGACAGGTTCTGGCGTCGCTGGAGCAATTGATGTCACGGGCCGAAGTTGCGCAGGAACCCCCAAAGCAAGGGCAAGCCAATGCATAGGACGAGGAGTGAGTCATGGAGCCAAGAGTCAGTGGCGCTGCGTGCTGGGGCAATGGATGTCATGAGCGGAAGTTGCGCAGAAAGTCTCGACAACCACAGCAGAGCTGTGGTGATCAATGCGCACGGCAGTCTTGATCGACTGTGTTGGCGTGGGGTTTTCTCCACGCTTGGGCGGGCTGGGCGTGAGGCTAGTTGTTCAGACGTGGGAGGTGGGTTGTTGCTTGGTAAGGAGTGCCAGCGTCTGGCGGGCTGGGCGGGTTGTTGTGTGCGACAAAAATGGGCCCGTGGAGCTGGACGCCGACGAGCCGCGAGAATTTCAAGGCCCGTCGGACAGGATCTTGGGCCCGCAGAGGGTGAGACCAGAGACCAGAGATTAGAGACCAGAGACCACAGACCAGAGACCAAAGACCAGAGACCAGAGACCAGAGACCAGAGACCAGAGACCAGAGACCAGAGACCAGAGACCAGAAACCAGACCAAAAATTAGAGATCAGAGACCAGAGACCAGAGACCAGAGACCAGAGACCAGTGCGCAGCCCGGAGGTGCCTGCCGTCTTGCCACGCCTTGCAGCGGCTGCCGGGCTTGCGCCTCGACGGTCTGCTTCCTGTACGGAGTTCCGTACCACAGACCACAGACCGCAGACCACAGACCACAGACCACAGACCAGAGACCAGAGACCACAGACCAGAGACCAGAGACCACAGACCAGAGACCACAGACCAGAGACCACAGACCAGAGACCACAGACCAGAGACCACAGACCAGAGACCGCAGACCAGAGCCACAGACCAGAGCCACAGACCAGAGCCACAGACAGAGCCACAGACAGAGACACAGACAGAGACACAGACAGACACACATACAGACACACAGACACACAGACAGACACACAGACAGACACACAGACAGACACACAGACAGACACACAGACAGACACACAGACAGACACACAGACAGACACACAGACAGACACACAGACAGACACACAGACAGACACACAGACAGACACACAGACAGACACACAGACAGACACACAGACAGACAGACAGACACACACGCACAGGCACACACACAGCACACACACACAGACACACACACACACAGACACACACACACACACAGGCACACACACACACAGACAGACACACACAGACAGACACACACACGGACAGACACACACACAGACACACACACACACACAGACACACACACACACACAGACACACACACACACAGACACACACACACACACAGACACACACACACAGACACACTTAAACTCCAGATGGAGGGTGCTAATCTTTCGAGTACAACTGGTAAGTCTCGGCTTGGATGAGGTTCTTCATGCGCAAGTTTCGGCTCGCAGGGCACTTGGCTTCACTCTAGAAACGAAAACGTTACCCGAAAGAACAAGAAGCACAAACAGCGTTGCAATCAAGGGGGCCAAATAGACTTTCAGAATCACCGATGCAGGTACGTCCAGCTGGCCAAGCTGGATATCCCACTTCACTGGTAGCTTCGTTGGACAGTCCCAGTGAAGTGCTGTGTCCCCCTGCTATTAATTGTGGTGACAGGGTATTCTGCCACTCCGCACACACACGCCCCTCAGTGAGGGGCGAGA